GGGGCCACCATTTTAGCAGTTATTCTTTGATTTTGATTTTCTTTCACCGGTATGTTGCCAGAACACATGGGAAGCAAATAAAAAGGACACATCTCACCAAATATTCCTACGCCGTCACGAATGTGGGGCGAAAGTTATTTTTAGTCTTTCTCTCCCTTCCCCCTTTCGCATAGCGATTTTTGTGTGGAATCAAAGAAAGGGGTTTGAAAATACATTTTCTGCCAGGTGTTGGTGAATATTTATGATTTTAAGGCGGAAGGATACAGGAATTGAGAGTTTGGTTAGGTTGAAATGTAGGACTGAAGGTTTCAATTTGTGAAAAGGTTTGAACCGGTCTAAGAGGCGAGAATTAACATTAAAGTCAATGGGGAAATCATTGGTGATCTGTGGCCATCCTGGATAATCAACCACTTAAAAAAAACCTCCCGGTTACTAGACTAGGAGCCCAGGGGGCCAACCTAACTGAATTTTTTCCTATATGTTATCAATGCATGTATATCTGGTATCATCAGAATGTAAGTCTGCCGGGTTTCCGGTGTTGGGTGTGGTATTCCACGCCCAAAATGCCATGCACCCCAACTAGGCTAGATTAGCTCAAAAGTGTACCACATGAAAATCGTACAGAACCCACCACACAAACTGTCTGGCAGAGGTCATTCATGATTCCTGTAGTGGTACCGAACAACTCCAAAGCTGTTTTAGGTGGTACAGATTTCAGCTAATCGAGCCTAACTGCGGTCTGGAAATTAGAAAACTCTTGTCAGGGATACTCTACCACTACAAATGTCTGACAATTACATAGCTCTGTCAGGGGTAACCCACCACTAGAAATGTCTGTTAGAGTGTTTTTGTAACACCTGAAGATGTACGGTATACTGCTAATCTAGCCTAGTTGAGGGGCACGGCATTTTGAGCGTGGAATACCACACCCACCACCAGAAACCCGGCAGACTCACATTCGGATGATACCAGATATACATGCATTGATACCATATAGGAGACAATTGGTACACTTTTCAGCAAGGTTAACCCCCTTGGCTCCGGCTCTATACGCATAGGCAATGGAAATTTTCGTCAAATGTTGACAACGGTCCCAGACACTCCGTACGTTGAAGACATCTACTACATGAAGATCTGACCAGTTGTAGCGGTAGGTCGCGTCTTTGGTCATACGAGCGGCTTTTGACCCTATGACTTTAGACATTTGATTAACCAATCAGCGTTGATGTTTCTAGTAGGTTACCCACAGTTCCATGCAACTCACGCCAAAAACTCGCAATAACAGACCGTTTCATTGGCTAATCCCTCACATCAATAGGAACGCGGGTTATATAACAACTCTTCTAGGTCAGATCCTAGTGTAGTAAAGACAAGTAAAACGAAATTTTGAACTATAAAAAGCGAAAAACGAAATAGGATCTGTGTTTTAATCAGATTGGGATGTAAAATTTATGAAACTTATTTTTTTTGTTTTTTTTTGGGGGGGGGGGGGGGTGGGGGGGGGGGGTCTTTTAGTGAATCATTGATGATTTTATTGTTTATAGTAAAACTGATGGATAATCATTGGAAATAGAAAAATACAATCAAAATGTAAACTCAAATAAGAAGTAGTATTAATTGGTCGATATTTATTTTGCACAAACGTCGACAGTGGTATAACTAGAAATCTTATTTCTTTTTTTTTTGTTTCATTTAGTGAATTTCATACTAACTTTGGTTCAATGATTGGATGATTGTATGGTGTATAGTAAAACTGATGGATAATCATTAGAAATACAAAAATACATCTAAAATTTAAACTCAAATCAGAAGTAGTATTAATTTTTGGATGGTTTTTGTTTTGTTACATTGTAACAAATGAAAACAATCCAGTTCACGTCTTTTTGGGAAATAAATCCATTATTTTTGTAGGCGATGTGTGTATGAAACTGCTTGTATAAGTTTGCTATTTTACTCTCATTCAAAGCAATCTGAGTAATTGTCAGAATGTCACTTACGAAACAACCTGGATAGGTTATCAGCAACGACAAATCGGGTTGTCAAAGACAAATAGTACCATAGTAACTTATTCCATTAAACCATGACTTTGTTTTAGGGAGTATTCAAATGTCATCTGTCAGTAGGAAAAAGGATACTACCAATGAGATAACAGATGTGAAAACGGACATTGTCTCTGAATCAAATAATAACGAGTATGACACAAGTTACGTCAAGCCCATTTCTTCTGAAGAAACTTCAGGTATAGTATTTTGATATATGCCATGTCTGTAAGTATATTTGAAAACGTAGTAAAGGGGAATAAGCAAGTTGAAATGGTAAATATACAGTAATTTTACAATTTTACATTCGGAATGTAGGCCTACATAAGTTTCTGTTTGGTGGTTCAGTGAGTATGGCGCTAGCTCATTAACCAGGGTGTCCCAGGTTCAGCGTTGTTTCCCCCTTGTTAGTGATGCTGGACGTTTGGATGGGACGAAAAACCCGCCTACACTTTGGTGTTGCATTCTTGACAATTTGGGCACAAATTTCTGCATTGCACACTACATGACCTATACCTGTCATCATTATCCCGGCTGGTGCAGAAAGATATTAAGCCCCACTTCTTTTCACCCCAAACCGATAATGGAAATAGAATACATGGTATAAATGTACTTCAGAGTCGATTATTAATTATTATTCAGTTATTCACATTCTGACAGAATAAGTTCTATGGAATCATTGAATTTGCCCATCTTTATAAACCGATTTGGTCTGCAGAAAGCAGGGCGTTAAACCGATATTGGTTTCTTTTCTGTTCGCTTCACACCGCCATTTCATAGCATATTGTATTTTTATTTATATGAGTGGAATGCGAGGGATCGAATCTAGCCAGGACAGCGCATTCCCTTTTGCTGAATCCCTATTTTCAAGGGATCTTGCACTACCAGTTTGCACACGGGACCTTGGTATTCTATCCCACCCTAACGACTATAGGCCACACTTTCATGGCCAGCCCCGCAGTCAAGTGATAACAAGGTTTTACAAATCGAGGAACATCTTCTCGGTCAACACTGGGACATTCTGGTTTTGAGTCTTGCTAAAAGCCATATTGGTCCAAAAATAATTAAAATCGATCGAATCCTAACATGTCATATTGCTTTTTTTATATTGATTTCATGCTGCCATCTTTTTTGTTGTTCCTGAAGAATAATTCATTTCTATCCATATATACCGATATGATTTGCTTTAATAACGGAAATTTGTACCTAAATAACACATTCAAAAACGAAAAATGACAATTGGCCTTCTAGTTGAATTACTTAGGTATTTTTTAAATTTTTTAATTAAAAAATCTAGCTTCCTGTGAAATGCCAGCCTGCCAAGGACTAGGCAAAGAGATATGTACAGATGCAAATTATAAGAAATTTGTAGTAGAGAACTGCTGTATAACTTGCGGTGAGTAAAGTTTTTAATACTAATTCACAACTTCAAACAAAATTTCAACAATACCTATTGCTTCTTTGATTGGCATTTAGTAATATTAACACAATGTACAATTTTATGGATACACAATTACTGAGTTTAATACTAAGTAACGTTTCGACGAGAATACTCTCGTCTTTATCAAGCAAATGCAGAAACGCTGATATGAATCACCATAATTAAAATCTATAAACCTGTAACGGGAAATCTCTTTGATCTTCCCAGACTTTTCTATGCCCGGAATAAGTTGCAATCTCAAAGCTGGAGCGGCTTTGAATATATCAAGGGGAATTTGTTTTGTTTTTTCTTAGTTTTTGCTTTCCGAAAGAAAACATGAGGCGAGGTTATTCTTACAACGTGTACATGTTATTATTTTCATCATGTATGTATTTTCATTGGGATGGGCAATTCTAGCCGTTGCCACAATTTCATGCTTTTTGCATACAAAGCAATTTTAGCTGGCGAATTAGTAACCGTTGGGTGGACCTACAATGTAATTATGAGAGAGAGAAATGGGGTTCAACGTCAACTCGATACAAACTGGGCCATTTCAGGACTGGGTCCTTCGCTGTGGGAGGAAGCCGCGGGAGCCGGAGAAAAACCACTAGTTTGGACAGGCGATCCTACTTCTATTCAAGTACGAACGGGGAATCAAAATCACGCCTCTTGACTCAATTACAGACCTTATGCGCACGCGTTAAACCGTTGCCACCCCCACCTCAATTTAAGACTTATAGATGCATTATCTAAAAGCTAAATCTACTTAATGCTGATATTTCGTTTGGTTATCTAAATCATTAATTAGACATTTATTCACGTGCCAAGTCCATAATCAACCCTCTTGACCATTGGGTGGTTTTGATATTCAGCGGATTTCAACAGAATTAACAGTAGTTAATAATTAAATTAAAAAGTCGATAATCGAGACTTTGTTTAATATCGTAACAACGGTATCAATGCCAATCGAGACTACATTGTCCTTCCAACGGTCATAACTCCACTCAGAATGAAGTAATTTGACTGCAATTTTCAACAAATTACCTTTTCATTATCTATTTTTAAACTATTATGACGACTGTCAACTCTTTACCTAAATCTTACATAATACGTCTTTAAGTAATGGTCACCGTGCATTAACCGAAGTCCTATAGACCCAGTATTTTTTAAGTTTTGGTCATTGGACTGTAAGCGAACAGCTTCACTTTAATATAGCAAATTAAATCAACACCATATTCAGTATGACTTTCTTTTGTTGAGGAAATTCCTAGCACGGTGAAGAGATGCTTGGTAGTTTATCATACAACAAATCTGGTTATTACTCGTCTGTTGATCCAATATCGCTTTGTAGCCTGAAATATATCGAAGACCTAAATTTAATAATTTGTCAGGTTATTTTACATACTGCACGCAACGATCCATCTACTTCATACTTCGAGAATACATCACTGCCCTAAATGTCGTTCATTTAAAACGCTCACGTGATCATTTTGAAGCGGGACTTGTCGACTGGCCTACTGCTTTGTACACCCGAAGCACGTGGTTTATGTAAACAAATGTCAAGTTAGCAAAATGTCGACTTCTGCCACTCCGGTAACAGCGATATATAATATGTGCTAGTGGGAAATATTGCAATACAGTCTTTACCATTGTAAACTGTTTTTACAGTTTCAATCTGTTTATCTTTCAAAACAAGGTTAGATACTCTAAATTTGTCTCCGCAAACAAAACCGCTTCTGTGAAATTATCTTTCATGGGCGCCGCCATATTGAATAACTAGTGGACTATTTCGTGATTCCGCTCTGATCAGTTTGACATCTTTCATACACACAACGGCTAAATAATAATATTTAATTTCATTCAATATGAAAATAGAAGAGAAATAAATACTTCTAAAAATTTCTAAAAGCATACTCAGTGTTTTCGACAATCAGGTTAGGGCCTGTCCTCAGGAAGAGCTAGCTGTAGACCGCAGCCTTAGTTTGAGATGGTTATTTTAAACTCATGTGAGTTATGGGTCTAGGCTAGACAAATAATCTGAATAAAACCATGGAAGATAATCCCAGTGAATAAGTCGTTAGTTTTTAATCCTAAATTCTTAGTTCTGTGTTCGTCACTTGACACTTCACTTCGCGACCTGAAAATTACAGGGTTCTAACTAATATTTTAAGAAAGTCTTTTGCTGACTGTGCACATCCTTATAATTGAATATTTCATGTTAATGATTGGGATTTTCAGTCGTCCTGAGTACTTGACAAGTGTCTATGCCTTTTTGTGTTTTCATCAAACTGTAGTACCATATTGTATCTTTAACTATTTATTGGGTTCACATACACACATTGTATAGACAACATATCTAATGCACTCAAATAATGAGTGACGGATTTAAACATAAAAAGGGTTATGCTTTGTTAAACATCGTAGCACCACGGGTCTTTTGTCAGACGTGGAAAGCGGGCCCCCAATTCCTGTCGCCACATCCTACGTATGACTCATGCATCTTTTCTTACTACATATCTTAGTAGCCTTGTCTTCGTCTAGTATTTTCAATTGGTTTCCTTTTCACGTTGTGTATTCTCTTCTTCTTATCAGTCAAGTAGTTAAGACGTTTGTCTTCTCAGTAGTTAAGACAGTTGTCTTACCAGGAATAACAGTGCAACAGTTCATTTCTACATTTTATATAAAGCACTGAGTTGCGTAGATTACAAGCATAGTAGATTACATTAGCATACTTAAAATTAACATCTTTATCTCAACCCCAACTCCTGTAAAAATCTATCCAGCATGGCTAGACTCCGGAAACGGCTACATCATATGGTCTAGGAATTCAGAAGGTACTCTGTCCGGAACCCAAGGATATCTAAACTTAAAGGCTTGCCTGGTTCTCTTTTATAAGACCCATATGGTTATCATGCATAGACCAGGCTATTCATGACACTGAATCTGTGCAATTACTGATATGACTGGATGGTAAGCCAAATGATACAATAGGAAGTTTCCCAATCACGTGTTAAACATGATAATTCTGATTCCCACGGAAACCAGATATGTTTACCAAATTATAACTTTGTTATGTCAACCATTCACTCATTTTGAATTAAGTGCATATGAGACAATATGATTTCTATACAATGTGTGAATCTAATAATTAACAAAATATATTAATATTACAATGCTACTAATTTAAAATGCAAAAATTCTACCAATCTTGCTACAACATAGCTGGTTCCGTTGGAATCAGAATATCATGTGTAACACGAACCCGAATGTCAATATTACCTGCAACAGGTAAATTTCAACGTTAGCAATTTCCGCCATTCTCCGTGGGTAGTCGTAACTTTCCGTAAATGTGACGTCATTTTAATCCTTCTGCTGATATTAAAGTCTATAATTATTTCTATGTGCAGAAGGACTAAAATGACGTCACGGATTGCTTATTGACGGAAAGTTCCGACTACCGAGGGAGAACGGCGGAAATTACTAATGTTGAAATTTACCTGTTGCAGGTAATATTGACGTTCGGGCTCGGGTTATACTTATGGAAAGGATATGTTGACATAATTACTTGCATTATTTAAAAAAAAAATTGATGCTTTTCCGGTGACCTTTAAGTCATAACCTAAGCAAATCTGTTAAAAAGCCCAAACCATCCATTTAAGATTCAGATATCATTGGGTTCCGGAGAGATTACCATCTGAGTTCCTAGACCATATGATGTAGCAATTTCCATCAGCAGACTCGCCTCTGGGTGGAATGGGATTGAGAGAATGACTTTATTGTAATCTATTATGCATTGTACCATATGTACCCAGTTTGACATAAAAATTTAGAACTGAACTTTTGCATTGTTATTCCTGGTGAGACAAACGTCTTAACTAATGAAAAGACAAACCAAACGTCTTAACGACATAGTAAGAAGAAAATACACAACATGAAAACGAATCTAAGAAGAGAATTGCAAATACTAGACGATCAGTAAGGCTATTAAGATATGTAGTAAGATTAGAGTGAATGGGTCATACGTAGGATGTGTCGATCGGATTTGCATCGAATTCTGCCCCACAAGTCTCTAAAAAAGAAAATGTGCAGGAATCACATGCTTGGGTGGGGTTTTCAGAACCAGAGACTTTTGCCAGGGATTACCATTCATTTCAAACAATTACACCGTCTGTATGAAATAAAGCCAATTTAATTCACAAATAAACATAATACAAGCTTACGATGTTATGGTCAACAGACTCAATTTTTGTTTTAATTTCAAAGGAAGCTAAAATTTTGTTTTAAATTCATTGGAAGCCAAATTTAATTTTTGTTTAAATTCCAAGGAAAGCCAAAAAAAAGAAGTGATTAAACAATCGACAATATGTTATTTCATTGTTTAAATACATAAAATAACTGAATATCTACTGATATTTTCAAAGTTAGTTGTCGCCCTATTTCCTTTAACTTTTAACAGAAAGCCGCACAGTTTTATGCGATAATGGCCATGATGGGTTTAAATGGACACTTTTGAAATCTGTTGATGTTATGTATAAGAATCATTGGAAATGAAGTCCAGATATTATTTTAAAATAATGCTGGGTCAGGAAGACCTCAGAAAGAAACCCTCGATAGAAAAACCTCGGCCTATAGGCCTCATCTGTCATCTCGGGTTCTTTCTTCGGGTCTTTTCTTCCCGAGCATAACCTCTGATTCGTGCTTTATTCATTACTTAATTAGCCCAAATGCGCGTAGCCCTTTTCATTCGTAATGCGGTATATACAGTCAATATATTATTAACAAGAATCAAAAGCGATCGGATACGAATCGAGCCGAATTAAATTTATTCCGAATCCACTACGATCCGAATAAACGTTAAAAAAAATTTGTATGGAATTGTAAATAGTCTATAACGTAAAGTAATAGGAAATATCGCTTTAAAAAAATTATAAATATTTTATATCGTAAAGCACTATAAAATCTCACTTTAAACAAGCCCCCACCCCCACTAATCTATTATTTTTGTTATTTCTATATTTCAAGCCGCCTTTCTTAACAATGGCGTGGTGACGACAATGGCGATTCCAGAAACCACCGTCGGTGCAGATAAAGGTATGTATTGAGCGAGGATCTAGAGAGAGTGACAAAAGTGATAGCCCCCCGAACTCCTATTTCGGGTTATTGTAACTTTTTATAGTGCACCCTTCATTTGCTATGTGTCATATTCTAACGCCTTTCAGAATTCCCTTGTCAGTGGTGCAGGAAGGAGGCCCTGACAAGGACAGCTGTCAAGTCGATTGGATGGGACGAAAAACCGAGGTCTCGTGTATACATTGGCGTGCACATAAAAGATCCCTTCGCAGTTAAATTCGATATAAGAGTAGGCCATAGTGCCGCTGCTCGGGCACAAATTCTCTCAAAGCACACTGTATGGCGTATGCCCGTCTTCATTAGCCCTGTCGGAGCAGAATAGTAGGGCGTTAAACCCCATTTCATTTCGCTGTAGATGACATTTTAGACTGTTTCGGCCAAATACAGCCATATATCCCAGCACCAACCATATTTAGTCACATTCTTTAAAACATCTAGATAAACCCAGTATTACTGGTTAATAATGTTTTCCAGCACCAGTGGTTTGTGCGGATAAATCTCCAAGTTGTGCTGCTTTAGGATTAGATATATGTACCAATCCGCTTTACCATGCGTATGTGGTCGCTAGCTGTGCAGGTCATTGTAAACTTTGTGAAGGTAAGTATATAGATCTTTATAAATTGTCCAAACCAGGGCCCGCGACAAGGGGTGTGTGGGGGAGGAAGGGGGGTCTGTCAGCCCGGCTCGAAAATCTTTGAAAGATACGTGGTCTTTTTGGCGTATACCTGAAGTATCTGGAGATAACTGTGCTAAAATTTCTAAAGGAAAAAATACAGTATTCTATAGTTTTGTTTGTATTGTTTTCTGTAGTACATTCTACAGTTATCTTTTTTGTCTTTAATCAAGTTTTGTGAACAGACTGCACAGTTGTCCCACTGTCTTCAGTTACTTGTTAATATTAACTTTTATGAAGTTGTTATATACATGTACATTGAATTTAAATATATATTTAGAATTCAGTCATTTATGAACAAACAGCATTTTCTTGGATTAACGTTAACCAGTCCATTAGCTAATGGATAATGGTATTGACTTCCTAGCAACAGAAATTTAACGGACCGTTAACAAACGACACATTAGCAAAGCTCCGTTAGAGTTTAACAGACCGTTAAAATAACTTAGTTTTGAGCAACCGGCCCCTGGACAAGTATCCCAACTGCCCCCACTCCCATCCCATGGGCCCTAGCTCAAACCATCACCATATTGACGACTGTATTAATAATAGCGAGTGTCTTGGGGACATGACCCATCCTTAACACGCCAGTTGACATTACTCTTGTACAGTCATAGTATGCTAAAACAAAAATAAACTAAATCGAATCTGTAGAGTTTTTGTGGGTTTCAGCGACAAATGAAATAATTTTTCACAAAGGTTGTTACGCGTCGGTGCATTTCGATAGACTGTTTCTTTGCGACGAATCGAACTATCCCAAGTTTGGAAAAAATAATGTAAAAACCTCTGACCCATTGAACATTTACAAGGTTTGGCTATTAACACCGCAAAACTGTGGTGCGTAATCCTTAATTCTCAGAGATTCTGATCTCTAAAGTGTTCACAAGGTTTCCTAAGACAGTTTTAAAATAATCTGGAAAAAAATCCAATAAAACAACTGACATTAGAGCTTTAATAAAATTATTAATTACCTTTTCACCGAGTAGCTTATTGAAAACTGATCCCCAACTTGCCTTGTACCAATGGACAATGACCAAATAGTCCAGGGATAATCATTTTGTTTAATTTTATTTCTAATCATTACTCGGTGTTCTCAAATTTGTTTACAGGGGGTATTACGGTAGCAACAACAGTAAATCCCAAGACAACATCATTGGTCCCAACAACTAAAATTATTACTGCACACGCAACAGCAGCAGGTAGGTTGAGGAATAGTAAATTACTAAAGCGCACCAAAGTAATAACATAATATTATAAGAGTCGTAAAATTACACCAAGCCACCCCAGGTGGTTCGTAAATATGTCCAAGTCAAACGACGTACCATTTAGTGCTGATTTTAATTATGTAATTAAGAACATCCTTGCATATAAACAATGGAATGGCATATACGGAATAGATAGAAAACTTACTTGTTTTACCTCAGACGTACAAAGATGGCGGCGTGAATCAATAAAAATTAGATTTCAGTTAAAATAGATTATTTTCTTTACTGTCTTGCTTCCACTTTTAATTGTTCGCTCTCATTAAACTTATTTTTATTTTTTCAGCAGCTTGTGTTGATACCATACCAAACTGTGAATTCTACAGTATCAATGATTGTGGCAGCTATCCACAATGGGCAAAAAGCAACTGTCAAAGATATTGTAATCTATGTCCAAGTATGCTTGTTTCTTTAACTAATGTTTTCTGTGAAAATTCTTTAATAAAGCTGCTAATTAACACTCCTTTCAGGGGTCGAACGGGAGGTGCAGGTTGAATTTGAACAAGAATATACTCGGGAACGCCACGGCCATGACCAAATTCTACCTTACCATAGTAACCATAGAAAATAATGTATGCTATTCTCAGAATGTCTGAATCTATGGGATTTTTTTATATTCTTTAACTAGATTTATTCAAAATAAAGGAAATAATGATTGTGACTCATGAATTAAATGTCGTACTATATGTTTTGTTTTTCTCATTGTTAAACTGAAAATATATCTTGAAGTATATCACCCATGTGCCTTTTGTTGAAATTCATTTTAGAGATCTGTGAGGATAAGATAGCTAATTGTGCTCAGTATGGTTCATATGTCTGTACCAACTATAAAGACTACGCAACAAAAAATCTGCCGGATAATAGAAGTTCGTTACAGGATTTTATTTTTTTTATTTTTTTTTTTTGCTCACATTCCCGAATTGTGTATTTACATGTACTATGCCCACCACATATTAAAGGGGATTTGTTTTTATCAATAGGTTGTGTCGATAAACTAACTAATTGTGATAATTTCGATGCAAGTGTATGTGTCACCCCAAATTATGCCCAGTGGGCTAAAGAAAACTGTGCCAGAAAATGCAACATGTGTGGTAAGTTCCTGACCACGACCTATGACAATTTCTCAAATAAAGGTGTACGAAGAAAGGTTATTAGAAGATTGTCTGAATTTTTTGAGAAATGGGGTTTAACGTCCACTACGCTTGTGCGTAGAGGTCTTTAACAGTGGGATGAAACCGGAGAAAACCCACGAGGTTGGAAGGCAACACTACTCCTTGTCACGTACAACCGGGGATCGCAACCACATATACTTCTAAAGAGGGACGTTATCGAAATTCAGAGTTGCGCAACAATCTTTTTATAGATTTTCTACCCCGTCACCGAAACTTTTTCAAGGCCTACTCATCATCGAATTCCAATTGTCATGGGTATTTTTACGTACGGGTTGACCTCAGTTTTTTGTCCCATTTTCATAATAGCTGAAGTTGAGTAGTGCAATTATTTTGGCAAAGAAAGATAAATGAATTAGTTTTTGGACTCTTGAACAACCCGTAACATAGTCTTTCACTTAATTCTTCCCGGTATCTAACACACTGCTTACATTTGCCTTTTTTTATAATTTAAAGATAAAGGCTGCTACTATAACGGTACATTGTTTGAAGAGGGGGCTCAGATTCAAGATGGTTGTAAATTTGTTTGCATCTGTCACGATGGAAATACTGGTCGGTACGGATGCACATCATTGTAAGTATCGTTATAAAAAGTTTCAACATCCATTAACGAGAGCATAGCTAACTATGCAATATACGTCCACCCACACATTCCTGCTTTGATTGATATGGTACTTTTTAAAATGAAGACAATGAAATATGAAATGGCTGCAATGAATGTAATATGACAAGAGGCAAAGAAGGCTAGGCGTTGGGTTTGTTTTGCCAAATTTACAGACAAAATATTTAAAAAAAAGTGGGTTTGACACCGCCCCAGGAGGTGGGGTATGCACCAAAATAAATAGTTGTTGTCTTTACGGTATAAGGAATTGCAGAATTGCAGCCTGTAGACGATAAATGCAACCATTGGGTGTGGCTCTACCCCCGGGGGTTGGATATGGAACAATATAAATAAGTACCACCCTGATATTGAAATAACTAATATGCTGAATTTGAACAAAATCTGTTAATTATTGCAAGCTGTAGAGTATTGCACGGGACATGCACCAAAATAAATAGTTGCTATCCTTACAGTATAAGGAATAAATATCCAAGATGATCCATTTAGAATTTCAGCCTGTAGACAAAAACCACAAAAAATGGAGGTAGTTCTGCCCCTGGGGGTTGGACATGGATCAAAATAAATAGGTACAATCATATGCTGGATCATTCCGAATTGGATCCAAATCTGTTAATAATTGAGACCTGTGTATTATTTACAGACAAATTATCAACAAAACGTGGGGGGGATGCACCAACATCAATAATTGCCATCCTTAGGGTATAAGGAATTAGCATAACAAGTTCCAAGATAATCCATTCAGAATTGTGGCCTTCGGGCACTAAACGCAAAAATTGACACTGCTCCTGGGGGGGGGGGGGGATGCACCAAAATCAATAGTTGCCGTGCTATAAGGAATACATATGCCAAGTTCCAAGCTAATTCATTCAGAATTGGGGCCTGTATACGATCAACACAAAAATTGGTCGTGGCTCTGCCCCTTGGGGTCGGAACATGCAGTTGTTGTCTTTAGGCTATAACGAATACATACACCAAGTTGCAAGACGATCCATTAAGAATCGTCGCCAGCAGGCGACACACAAATAAACAAATGGGCGTGGCTCTGCCCCTGGGGGTCGGGCAATCACCAAAAAACAAAAGGGGTCATCCTTAGGGTATAAGGAATAGGTATGTAAAGTTTCAAAAGGATCTGTTAAGAATTGTGGCCTGTAGTCGAAACACAAGGCAGACAAAAATAGGGCGTGGCTGTCCCAGGGGTTCGGGCATGCACCAAAAATAATAGAGGATCAATTAAGAACTGCGGCCTGTAGGCAACACACAACACGAAAATGGGCGTGGCTCTTACCCTGGGGGTTGGGCATGCACCACAAAAAATAGGGATGCCCCTTAGGGTATCAGGTATAAGTATGGAAAGTTTCAAGATGATCAGTTAAAAATTGCGGCCTCTAGGCGACACACAGATAAACAAAAAGATGGGCGTGGCTCTGCCCCTGGGGGTTGGGCATGCACCAAAAACAATAATGATAATCCTTAGGGTATAAGGAATAAGTATGCAAGTTTGAAGTAGATTCGTTAAGAAATTTGATTTGTAGACAAGAAAATCAATAGGGATCATCCTTAGGTTATAAGGATTAAGTACGAGCGTATGTAAAGTTTCAAGACGATCATTTAAGAATAGCGACCTGTAAGGAACACACACAGGGGCGACGCAATATACGTCCAGATTATATGTAAAAATATAAAATGTGGGCCTATTTATATTTTCTAAAATACATAATATGTCAAAATAGCAAAGGTATTTTAAATGGTCATATATTTTTCTTTTCAATTGACCTTCGATGTTCATTTCATTCACGGTGATTCTAATGAAGTGTGTATTTTTATGTGTTTTATTTCAGGTGCTTCGAATATACCTTACCATCAGAATGTACACTTCTACCACCTAAACCTGGTAAATGCTGCAAAACCCCAAGCTGTCCTGCTAACATACATCTGAATACTACCGGTGGAAACTTAATAGGATAATTATTAGCAAGAGGACAAGATAACATTTCATTGGACACTACTTTTTTTATTATTGTACTTGTTTGGGCTAATTAACATTTGATTTTTTAAAAGAATTATTCTGTAATACAAGTGTTTTGCGAATTAACTTTTGATATTTTAAAAGAATTATTCTGTAATACAGGTGTTTGCCTTTTATCTGCATTGCACTAACTTGTCATTTGGAGTGAGGAATGCTCCGTTATATTTCAAACTTTAATGGACGTGTAATGCCATTCCTGATATTCTATACAGTTAAGACATGCATGTGCCAACGAATTAGCGGTATTATGATTTCTCTGGCTTAAAGATTTTTCTAAATTCTCTCAAAATATAGTTTTACGAAATATTATGCAGAATAGCTTGTAACATTTAAACAACATAATTATCTGATGTCTTGAATAAATTTATTTCACAACTATACTTATTAAATTAAAGGCTATGATATTGAAATAATCGTTCAAGCATACATTATCCATAAATATAAATAAAATAATTCTATGTAAGACATAGTTGGACGGTTGGACCTCCAATACCATGTGGTTGCAAAACACTTTTTTTTTTCAGTTTACAAAAATATCACAGTTTATTTCATGAATCTTAATTTAACACATAATCAATTAATGATACATTAAACAATGACGTGTTACAACGATATAAAAACCTTCATGTTTTTTATAGAATGTACAATTAAAAATATCTTGCAAAAAGTATGATTTATCTTATACATACATCATAGCAATTCATGTTTGCAGGCCGCTGTAATATATAAAGTTACTAATGCAATTATTGTTTTCTTCCTACACGATATATATTTGCATTTTGTAATCGGTCAATAATTTTAGTTGGTTCAAGAGGGTGGCTATCATAAAGTTTTTCTGTTGTTGTTTGGAAAACAAATGCTAATACAGACTCTAGTAGTTCAGCATGCATTTCCATATCTGCTTGTAATATAGCACGTTTCAAATCTTCAACCGGAATTAAACTGAAAATAAAGTGATCTTAGCTTTAACAATATTAGTGTCAAATTGAGAACATATCAGATCTCGAATATCAAAAATATTATTTTTCAGTGTAATTCAAAGAACTCTTACCTCACATCCCCTAAATTTTCTTTAATTTCATTCACAAATTCTAGCTTTTGTTGTCGGCACCATTTTCTTATTTCTTCTAAGAATGGACCAGTTTTCCCTTCATCATCCTGAAAAATGATTCAGTAATTTTCAAAAATAATTACATGTATTTTCCAAATAACAATGACCAATCCAATCAAGAAGGGTGGTACACTGGTAATCTAATACCACAATTAATTTTTTTATACTTCATTAAATTCACATAGAGTTTTCTGAAACCTGTAATCACTTTCTGAACAAGACAACAGTAAATCAATAGTCATAATATACATAGTCATAACATTTACCTCTGTAAAAAGGTTTTTATATTCTAAATTAGCTGTATCATTAGCATCTAGTTCAGTTTCTGCAGCTTTAAGTAAAATTGTCAGGGCATCTTCATCTACTCCAACCAAAAATTCTTTTAATCCCTCTTTAAAGTCATCTTTACTTAAAGTTCCCTGGTTTCCATTTTCCATGTCTTGTTTTAATAGGTGAGTCATCAGTTGATGTACTACTTGTAGCTGCCGGTGATAAACTTCTTCGTCCATCTAAGACAATTATCACAAAGATTAAAGAAAATAATAAAACCGTAACTTGTCTAAACTTCTCCAGAACACTTAGAATCTGGGGCTCTAGACGAGTATCGGTTATCATACCATGACAAAGAAGTATTAAAGGAAAAAAGTTCATAAATATGTTCAGCATCATTATGATTAAAGAGGCATTATTTGAAGTTCTCGCTATAATGGTTATAAAATAGAAAATGAAAAGGGAATATGTTGAAAATTTTAAATTACTTCACTCTTAGTCGACTTGCTGTCGTTACAAGAACAGTGTCGATTATCCATTTTTACGTTAAATCATTAACCGCAAATCATAATTAAATCTGTTGAAAATCTAGATGCATTTTAAAATGTATTATATTAACCACGGTTGAGATTATGGGAAATGCTACATCAACTTGTGAATTTGAAACAATGAACGAATATGGACTCTTTATGGATTGTGAAACATGCCAATCTAATTAAAATTAAATTGTTTAAGTGACATTAGATCTTTATTTCTGGGCTAATGATGATGGGCAGTGATATATCAGGGAAATGTTGTCTGCACAGCTACGCTATGGCCTACCATTATAACTTATTTCAATTGTCAAGGCAGTTTTTACGTGTACTTGACCTGGGTTTTTTTCATTCCATCTGAACAAGACACCACTGAAAACAGCAAATTACACTCCCAAAAATTCCTAAGGAACTTTCTAAGTTGAGTCCTTCTGGGTAAGAAGCCAGCATGTCACACACTGAGCCACCATGGCTGCCATATTTCATTCAAAGATGCTCAATTTATATTTACCTCTCCGGTTAAAACTCTTAAAAACAAACCAATATTTTCATCATGTGTATATCTCTGACAAGCATCATGAAGATTGTAGGCCCATTCTGTCACCATTTGATCCAGAGAAAATCTACGTTTAAGATAGTTCTGTAGGAAATCAGCCATATTGTCTCTTATGCCATCAGTTTTCTTTAATAGGAGAGAAAAAAACATTCAAGCTTGCTTGCAAAATAATCAGACAATTTCTGAAGAGGTTACATTTTCAGAAAAATTTTACAGTTAATTTTGATAATATCAAAATCTAATGAAAGTGGACTCAAAGCATGCAATATTAGAAGGAGCATATATAATATGTTGTTTGTTACAAGAACACTTAACAGGAAGTCACAGATTTCAATTAACAGAAAATCACAGATTTCAGATTTTACAGCTAGGTAATTAAAACTGTGTTTACAAAGTATAAAAATTAAAGACCAAATGTAAAGAAACATTCCAAATACTGGATAGCCTCAGTGATTGTTTCAACTCAAGGTGATTAGTAGATTTTATTAACACGGTTAAGAAACTCATTCACAGATTTCGATTTTTTGCAAATAAGTATCACAGAGCTTCCTACAGTTGACTAGAATAAATATTTCTAAGAGTAACCCACTTGATTCACTAAATTATATCCGGGTTGACTCCTTTAAAAGTATTTACCTCTGCATCATTTGCTGCTTTTTCTCTCCAAATATCCCGAATCAACAGTGCACAGTCCCTTTTACCTAGGCGTCTGTTTCTAACGGAACCTTCATATTTTAAATAAATAGGGACATCGTCTCCTGTGCCCTGTAACACAAATATTATTAAAAAAAAGTTGGTACATTTATAATAAAAAAATAAAAAAAATAATAAATTTGTACATATAAATTTTCCATACTCCAGTTATTCCATAAAACTTATTCTGTCAAAATGGGGATAACTGAATAATAATTGACACTGAAATATTGGTAGTTGATTTGTAGGATTTTCAATATTGCTACAAAACAGGTTTACAATTTCAAAATTTTTCTTGTAAGAGAGAGAAATGGGGTATAACATCCACTCAACAACTGGGTCATTTCAGGACCAACACATGGTCCAATTTTATTTCAAGAGAGAAAACCCACGAGGTTGGACAGGCGACCCTACAACCGGGGAATAGATACCATGTCAGTTGACTCATTGACAAATCAAATAATACAACGCGCATGCACTAACCATTCGGCCACCCAAGCCCCCTTTTCTTGTCAGACATTTTTACCAAAAATAAAGGGGCATAAAATAGCACTGGAATAATTTTTCAGTGAGCAAGTTGATTTGTCTCAAGCATTTATTTTTATAATCCGACAAGACAATAATACCACTGTAGCCTATACATTTTCTTCTGCATTTTTCTCCTGTCATATTATTGAGGATTTATGTAATTTTTAGCCACTTTCTTCTAGAAATTCTTATGACACATGGATGTGGGAACTCAAATAGAGAATGAACAACAATAGACTGCTTCTCGTCATTGATAAGATTCACACATAAGAATTAACTTTTATTATTCTATCCAGGCATTCATCATTAAATTATTAACAAAACACTCAGTATAATCCTATTGACAGCTATGTATACAACTCTGTGCTTCTATACTTGTGCAATTTCCTGTACAGGCCATAAAATTTTATAGTTACATGTTGGGGGTTGGGTCATCGAAAGGTTAACAAATGCACATTGGATCATAAGGTCTGTCATGGTATCGATTACCGCCTTGTCACGTAGGGTCGCTTGTCAACGGTCTTCAAGTGTCCTCAGGTTTCTTCCCACTTCTAAAGAGCCCTATGTGCAAGCGAAATTATTGAAATAAAAATGAACCATATCTCAAAATGACTTGGTTTGCATTGAGTGGACGTAACACCCCCTTTTTCTCTCTCGTAGCCATGTTTGAATATGGGGTTTTGAAAAATATGCTAGTTTTATGGTGTGTAAATTAACCGATGGGTCCCCAAAACATGTTTAACTCAAGCGGTCATGACCGGAATATATGGCCAAGCTGGAACCCATGAGTTGACATCTATTATAGGGAATCGAAGCTTCTGGTGACCTAATTCTGGCCCAAATAAAAATGTCCTATGATTAACCTCAGTTCTTTATCTTATCTGAATGGTTATATGCTTTCCCTTGCCAGGCCTGCCATTTCCATCACTGACAAGGGGAAACCAACACTGGAATAGAATCTGAGACCTTCTGGTTACCACACTCAACAATCCACCAATGTTACCCGCTATGCGTTTAAAGTAAAATCCTAAACAAATGCAACTTACCCGGCCTTCAAAATGATCAGCACCGTTAGATTCTACTATTCCACCTTGTCCCATTTCATTGAGTAATACTTCTAGCATTTCAGCACTTCTCTTTCCATCAGATAAATCCTTCCATTTATTTACACCACCATTAATATATTCTGCACATCTATCCCATTCTGGTCTAAATACAGATTTAAAACATAATATTAATATGCAATGGTAATGACATTAATATAATTCAGTGTTGTGTAGATAAGTCATACAAAAATATTTGCAAAATTTAATATACTGATTTGTTTTTTTCTTTAAAGTTTTATTATTCCTTTGAGAATCAGAAGCATAACTAAATTAATCTCATGAGTAAAATTTCCGCATTCCACCTCACATCTTTAACAAAGCTCTTGTAAGTCTCAACTTTATCACTATATATGATTTCTGATTCTGAATACTCCAACCTTTGCTAATCAATACGACCAGCTAATAAATGTTAAACACTTCACCCCACTAAGAAAATCAGATTTATTATCATAAATTTGTATCTTTAAGAAAACACTCATTCAGTTAGACTAACAGAGCAATGGAAGTGTCTAAAACTATTCAATCAAAACCTGTGAAGCAAAACCTTTTGGCTCACTATTATTAACACCATAAATGATATTGGAGAATATCATTTTCATTTAAATTACCTTGGTGTTGCACTCCTCTTCAGTGTTTCTAGTTCAACATAAAATTCATCTCTTTGTTGTGTGACTTGTTTTTGTACATCTAGTAAAGCTCTGGAGAAGAAATAAACAGTGTCTCAATATTTAAAGACACCTTCTTGCGTACAAACTGGGTGATTTGATGATATATTTGGACTTAAAAAACATCCCTGATTGGCGGGTTGCCGGTTAGGGAAACCCTTACATATTTGTCCTGTATGCGCTTTAGGGGTGTTTTTCAGGGAATCCAGTATTTTTCTAGTATGATTGGATGTTTCTACTTTCCATATATATGAAAATTGCCATACTTTTATTGGATAACCACCCGATATATACCTTTGTGGGAAAGTATCTTTAAGAGTATATTAGATTTGATTCAAGGCTTTGTCAAAAAAGAATGTAGAACAAAATGCTTTACTAATAACAGACTAAACAATTAATGTTTAATAAAATAAAAGTTTTTAAAAATTAAAGTGAATTCTGTAAAAGACAACCATCCTATCATGAACAAATTATTTTTCAAAAAACACAAATTATGTAAATTAACCATATCAGCATCCATGAACACAATTTTAAATACACTTTTAATTGGAGAAAAACTGTGAATAACTTACTCGTGCTCAGCTTTCAATTGTAAGAAATCTTTTTCCTTTATTAAGGTCTGTTCTTCTATATTCTAACATGCACAAAATAAATTATAACAGAAAAATTCAATAATTACTGCAGCCATGCATCTTGGATTTCTGAAGGTGCATTTTTTTGGGTCAATCAAATGACCTTGTCATCAATTAATCACTGAGATCAGCCATCTTCAATAAGGATGCTTTGACATGCAAAACAGATGACTCAATCCTCTGTGACATGCAAAACAGTTGACTCAATCCTCCGTGACCAGGAGTTTGAAGAAACTATAAGGTGTCTAATAATTCATGATAATCATTAAAAAAATAAAATATGCATCCAACATTATATTAAACTGAAATTAGCCTACTTACTTTAAATTTAGCTTCCAATGCTTCATAATCTCTTCTTGGAATGACATCACCATAGTTAGCTATCATTTCATTCAATCTTTGTGTAGCTCCTTTTTCATCTTCACGAGCTTTCCTATAAAAATTAATTTAAGCTGCTTTTAAAAAAAATGAAATAGGATTGCGAATAAAGCGCCACAGAGCAGTCAGACTGACTGAATGTTCAGCGCTATAGAAAAGGATTATTAGATTTAGAATATTAGAATAACACCCACACATATGGTATAATATCAATTTCATTAATTGGAATGTGCAAAAGGCTCTTTAGTAGGGAGAGGAAACTAAAAAATATCCACAAAGTTAGGCCTTTGGTTCCAGACCATATTATGTACAACTGTAGGATAGAACTTAGGGTGGCTTGTTTTGCCCCACAATATACAGAAAGACTGCTAGGATTATGCAGATTGCCAAAACACATTATCTGTACTTACAACTATAGGAATTATGCTTGGGATCTTTCATGTGAACTAATAAATTGTATGGTATTTGTGGTGTATTTTGTACTACCAGTATTCAAATGATAAGACACCCTTTCCTTTTACAAATTTATTATGCTTGATAAGGCACAGCAGAAATCACTTATTCTCTAAAGAGAAATTAACCAAGATTTAAATTATCCACTAGAGTATAGCATGTCATTCAGCATTAATGGTACAAACCTTAATGCTATTTTTAATGTGACTGGATCTTCTTGTGCCTCTTCAATTTCCTGCATATTTTGTTTAGACATCATATAATCTTCTTGTTGATATCTTAAATCATTGATATCAGATATCAGAAGCTTACGTGCATCACATTCATCTCGATATTTACGATATTCCTCAGCTAATTTCTCTTTTAGTCTGGCAATTTGTTCTTGTAAATCTCCCTCTTCATTTTTCATGGCAGAAATTTGTTGGAACAGAGCTCGATTCTGTGCTTTAAGGTCTGTTATCTCTGTGAAAATAGCGAAAATAACATCAAAAGAAACAAAAGGAAATAATTCCAACAATATAAAAGACCGCATAAAGTAAATGCATAATAAAATTAGTATGTGCTCGAGGGTCTTGTATTTTGATATACCACAAGAAAATTCTGGTTAATAATATTCAAACTTAAAGGGACCATCCTGATTTTAACAGAGTCTCTGAAATAAAAGTCTGTGAACGTATGAAATTTAAACGCCAAAATATAGAGAAATGGTGCATTTTACCTTGTCTTATAATTTCAGATCAAATATTGAATCGTTTAGACGTGAGCGTCAAAACCCCTTATCCAGACACGTAACCCTTTTAAGATTTCAGGTCAATTTTTTCATTGAGTTCTGATAGTCTATTGCCGTTCCTTTAGAGGTCTATACAGTGCATGACCCACATGCTGTACTTTACAACGAAAGGTTAATTTCACCCACATATTGTTTTTATAAAATAAAAGTCTAGTTTTATCCAGACACCCTATAATACAGCTAGGAACATAGGGCTTCGTTTCAAGATGAAGATTGACAGGTTTAATTTGTTTGAAAATGTATCACGTATATTGACTTACTTGCTCGGCACTAATGTAAAAGATTTTAAGGGCTTTTAACACAAAATTGAGCAGTTTCTCCAAAATATAATCGAAATTGGCCCTTTAATGGAGATATCTCCAGTCAAAGTCACCAACTGCCTAAAACAATCAAAATTTTCCTAAACATTTTTGACATCACAGAGATCAAGTTTATTAGAAGTGTTTTAAAGTGTACGCTTCATTATACAAACTGAGTCATAACCATGACAGTTGCTGTTACTACTTTGACATTGGTATGCCAGTACCTTGGCACCTTTCCCCATCAAAGTTTATGTAAATGAAATGGGTTTAACGTCCTACTGTTCTGCTCTGAACTAGGCTAATGAATACAGGCATACACCATACAGTGTGCTATGAGGGAAATTTTGTCCGCACAGCAGCACTACGGCCTACTCTTAAACTGTCAAGAGATCTTTTACATGCACACCAATGTGTACACGGGACCTCAGTTTTTCGTCCCACCCGAACGACTAGACTGCTGTCCTTGTCAGGACTTCCGTCCTGCATGACTGACAAGGGGGAACCACGCTGGAAAATCTGGATGAACTTTCTCGACCAATGCAGGGGATCGAATACTCAAACTCCAGGCTAGCGAGTAAGCGTCTTACCCACTTAGCCACCGTGACCCCTCAAAGTTTATGTACTTTTTCACTTCATATCGCAGACAACACACTAGCTTCGAGTACATACCACCTTATTTATAACAAGAAATTGAATTAAAGACAATTTACCTTTCTTTTCCTCTTCTCTGAGTACCATGATTTTCTGATCACACTGTTCTGAGACTGTAACTAACATTTGCTGGAGATAAAAATTATCCTTCAGTATTATTAATCAATAAATAAATTACAGTGTACTATGAGGAAAATTTTGCCTGTTAGGCCCTTTGTATTGCTCTGGGAGCCACGTTGGCTCAGTGAGTAAGGCATTTGCTTGCTAACCTGGAGATCTCTAGTTCTATTCCGGTGTTGGCTAAGAATGTTCATCGGGATTTTGCGGGTGGTTCCTCCTTGTCATTGGGGAAGGACAAAGGGCCTGGCAAGAGATAATGTATAGTCGTTGAGATGGGATAAAATACTCAGGTACTGTGTACATGTTGCTGTGAAAATAAAAGATCATTTGGTAGTTGGAAATTGATATAAGAATAGGTGCCGCTGCCCGGACAAAATTTCCCTCATACATAGCAGAGCAGTAGGACTTGAAAACGAATTTCATTTTATTTTGGCTCCCAAAGGATATGAATGATAAAGCAAATGATTAACAGAACTAACTGCTTCTATTTGAAATCGTCCAACCTCCTGGGTTTTCTCCGGGTCCTCCGGTTTACTCCCACTGCTAAAGACCCCTACGCGCAAGCCAATTATTGAAATAAAATTAAACCATGTTAGTCCCGAAATGACCTAGTTTGTGCCGAAATGACCTAGTTTGTGTCGAGTGGAACCACATCTCTCTCTCTCTCTCTTGCTCTCTCTTGCTCGCCCTCTCTCTCGCTCTCTCTCTCTGAAATCGCTAATAACACAGAATAATACAAAACTCTTGCTTTTTATTCATACCTTGAGTGGTTCCATATCTCGCAATTGTTGCCTTTGATGAGCTAGCATCATTTCATATTCATTTTTTACTGTCGACAATAATGGCTTGTATGTTTTAAAATCTTCAATTAAATACTCAAAAACCTCTCTATGAGCCTGAAATAAAGAAATAATATAAAAATAAACAAACATATTCTATCACAGGTTTACATATGAGTCCAACAAGTAAATATTATAGAATATTAAGTTTTGTGTTTAGAAAAATCTTCACAATATTTATTTTACAATTTGTAAATTTACTGGTTTGGTTTCAATTCTATGGATTTTTATTAAAACAGAATAATTCTTAAAATTACTAAAAGCAATGGCAAAGTATTGTAAGACAGCGAAAAGGGCTACACCAAAAATGTACAATTATGAGCAAACTGATGAATTAAACCATATTAACCTGTAGTCTCAGTTCACTTGGTGCTAAATCAGTCACGCCTAAAGCTCTTAATTCCTTCTTTAAAAAATTCTCCAGCTGTTCTAGGAATCTTGGTTTAGGTATCATCTGTGGTTTGCCCATTTCTTCATCATTAACTAGTACCAAACTCTTGTTCTTAGATAACATGGCTGATGTTGAGGTAAATCCTTGACCACTCGCATGGGCTGGCCATGTGTCAATTTCCCCAGCCTGGGTATCTACATATGGCTTGAGAATAAGTAAAACAGACATAAGTTTATCCATAAAAAATAAAACAATTGTAAAAATGGATATGTCAATAATAGTAATAGCAGTATCCATCTCATAGTCATAGATAATAATTTGTTTTGTACCGTAAAATGATCTAAAATATTTGCTTCTTTTCTAAATTCCTTTTGGATGAACTAGGATATTTTGAGTTTATGATGTAAACTTATTTACCCTTTTATTTGACCATAAACAAATTTTTGGACCAATAGCTTACGGTTATATCAGAGCATAACAAACTTATTTACCCTTTTATCTGACCGTAAACAAATTTTTGGACCAATAGCTTACGGTTATATCAGAGCATAACAAAACTCACTTTCAATGATTTTGGTGGTGGAAGTGGGTGGTGTAATTGATTTAATTTATACATAGGTCCACTCAAACCTTCGAGCCTATGACCAAGTCTTGGTGAAATTCTGCTTATTTTCCCCCTGCAAGGAAAGACAAATCTGTTAATACCAACCATGATGTTCAGTTGTAGATTCAATGACAATATTACTCAATTTAATTAGATGTAATAACATGAATAAACATATACATGAATCACCCATTCCAAAAAAAGGGCGTGTCACTGTTGCATTGTGGGAGATCGGTGAGCAAACATACTCGTAGGCCGCCATTACTTTGCATTGAATTTCTCTGACCAAATTTTGAAAAACGCGGATTTTACGTTAATTTTAGTGATGGGGGATATTTCATATGATGTGATAGAGACACTGATGGTTGATGCACGTAAAGAATACCTCAGAAAGCACATTCTGAAGTATACAGATCGCAAACAGGTAAAATGAAAACTCCAAAACAAACAGCTGTCAAAACTTAACATTCCTTCCTATCAATCAGCTGATCGCTGTCACTTTTAGCAGGTCAATACTCAAACTGTGAGTGTACAGTGTTGCATAGAAATAAATAGCACAGGGTACATTAAGAATGCTTAATAAAAAAACATGTTTATTATGTTCAGTTTTATTCATTTATATATTTTAAAATTAATTACTTTTATTACTCTTGTTGTTTAAGTTTAAAGTTTTGACAGCTGTTTGTTTTGAAGTTTTAATTTTACCTTTTTGCGATCTGTATACTTCAAAATGTGCTTTCTGAGGTATTCTTTACGTGCATCAACCATCTGTGTCTCTATCACATCATATGAAATATCTCCCATCACCACAATTAACGTAAAATCGGCGTTGTAATGGCGGCCTTCGAGTATGTTTGCTCACCGATCTCCCACAATGCAACAGCGACATGCCCTTTTTTTGGAATGGGTGATTCATGTATTTGTGTAGTTCATTTGGTTGTCTGCTAAATCAGTCCGCTCTAGTCTCATCATGTCATTGCATCAGGTTCCTTATAACTTATCAGCATGATGCTGTCTGTCATGTAGTAATACCAGTAGCATGATGATTGTATCATTTCATTCGTTTATAAAATTAAATCACTGTGTGAGTGTGACAGATTCATGTTCTTGAGCTCAGACATTGATTTATTATTATTATTTTAAAAATCAAAACATACACTACAAACATCATTTATTCTTTCTAATATCGTAAAATTCAGATAAGAATAAATTTCTGCCAGCCACTGACTCACTTGACTGGTATTACTGGCATTTTTCGTTTCTGTTTATGTCGAGTGTAAATTAAATTTACAGTGTAATTTTGTAAAAAAATGAATGAATTGAATGACACGTATTATCTATGATGACACTGAGACAGATCTACAAGACTTTTGTTTTTACTTACGCTGAAAGAGGCGGTAATGGCGCAACTGCCAACCTTGTGTCGCTCATTTTTGCTGTTTTTAATAATGCATCAACACGTTAAAATTCCATAAATCAATGCACAATTCGTGCTTTCTCCCAAATTAACCTGGACAACTCAATAAAAATTAATATTTTCCGCCATCTTGTATTTACCATAGCAACCTTGAATTTACGACATTGAGAAATACTTCTATTAGAAGAGATTGATAATCAATATTTATTAATTTTATATAGTTTACATCATTTTCATGTAATTTTACCCATTTGCTTAGTATCATTCACAGCCATCAAGCCATAATAATTAAATATCTATTTTTGTTTTATCCACCCGACCAATTTTGGGTAACTAAATGTCATTCGGCTCCAGTCCAAATTTATATCAACCATGGCTTGCCACTGACTCTGCCCTTAGATTGGCAAAAACAGTCGGATATTTCTTTATGCCTTTATAGATGGTGACGAGAAATAGAATGAGTACTGCCACTTAATCTGTTTCACAGAGGTATCGCAAAAGCCATACGTGTATAAGATGACAATCTGATTAAAACATAGATCCTATCTCGTTTCGTTTTTTATAGTTCAACATTTCGTTTTACTTGTCTTATAATACACTAGGATCCGGAAGAGTTGTTATATAACCCGCGCTCTGGATGATGTGAAGGATTAGCCAATGAACCGGTCTGTTTTTGACGTGAGGTGCACGGAACTGTGGGCAATCCACTAGAAACATTAACGCTAGCTGATTGGTTAATCAAATGTCTGACGCCATAGGGTCAAAAGTCGCGGTGCGTAAGGCGCTGGCTCGCTAGTCTGGAAGATGCATGTTCGATCCCTGTATTAGCCGAGAAAGTTCATCGGGATTTTCCTACGTGGCTTCCCCTTGTCAGCAGGACAGAGGGCCTGACAAGGACAGTTGGCTAGTCATTCGGATGGGACGAAAATCCGAGGTCCCGTGTACACATTGACGTGCACGTGGAATTCGATATAAGAGTAGGCCATAGGGCAAGCTGCCCAGGCAAAATTTCCCCTCATAGCTCACTGTATGGCATATGCCCGTCTTCATTAGCCCAGTCGGAGCAGAACAGTACGTGGGACATTTAACCCCATTTCATTTCATTTCATACTTTTACTGACCATCGGGTGGTGTGTTGCAATTCTTTGAGTTTCAGAAAATTACACAATTCTGAATTTGATTCAGGATGTGTAATTCTCAAACTCAAACTGCAGATCCAACCATCACGCACTTTTTAAAGATCATCAGATCAACTACAGTTGACAGTGCCGTCCAAATCAAGTATGCATGGAGATCGTGCATTACTTAGGTGTGCTGTAGTTTTATGGAACAGAATTCCTATTACATAAAGAGATCCGAAACATTGAACAATTTTAAGTCGTAGTTAAAGACATTAACTTTAAAGCAAATATATGACTATAGAGCGCGCTTAAACGGTCTACTGGAAAAGAACGCGCGCTACAAATTCATAATTTATTACATCGTCTGTTCAAAATAAAGGCTTTAATATGTCTGCGGTCAAACAGGTTTTATTTTAACAACGTTTTGTCTGAGCAAAATAATGTTTTGTTGAGTGTCCCAGAAGGCAGTGTATTCGATTTCATTCACTTCGCAAAATAGCAAGAAAATATGGGAGAACGCTAGATCGGAGACGGTCCTACGCATATCACGTCGGTTGTGCGTTAGGTTAGGGTAAGGGCTAGGTTTGCTCCAGGGTTAGGGTTAACGCTAACCCTGTTTACCAATCTGTTTCACAGAGAATTACGAGTCTCGTATAATATCTCTGTCATAGATGACTGCCTTAACACGTGCTGTCACAGCACGCGGTGTGAATCATTGGCTGAATGGCGCGTGCATTGTTTACATAAGACATAACTGCTTCGGAGAGAATGCTGCATTTTAGTCAATTTAATACCCATTTACACTAAATCGGAAATAATTTTTACCTACAAATACGTCAAACGCCTTTATTTATTTTTCCAATATATACAAAAAATGTTTTAGAATTTAATTTGTCGCAGGAAAAAAGTTAATATTTCTAGCTCATTAAGCCGCATCAATGTCATCCTTATCAGTGATTGTCGCGGCCAAGCAAATATTCACTGCGGATCAGTGTGCCTGTTTACATCTCGAGACTGACGAAATCTGCAGGTCCCCACAATCCACATATGACGTCAGATGTGCTAAAATGTACAGGGCCGACTCCGATCTAGCGTTCTCCGAAAATATGTCATAAGAGTTGTCTTTGTCAATATACACACAACTGTAGCCTACATATCTTTTAAACACCCGAAACCACACCGATCCGCAGTGAATATTTGCTTGGCCGCGACAATCACTGATAAGGATGACATTGATGCGACTTAATGAGCCCCAAATATTTTTTTTTGCCTAAGACAAATTAAATTCTAAAACATTTTGTTTTATGTATTAGAAAAATAAATAAAGACGTTTGAAGTATTTGTATGTAAAAATTATTTCGTATTTTAGTGTAAATGGGTATGGTGTCTTATGTAAACAATGCACGCGACATTGAGCCAATGATTGACACCGAGATGTGACGTCATGTGTTGAAGGCAGTCATCTTTTACAGAGATATTAGAAGACTAACTTTCATACTCTGTGAAACAGATTGACCCGAAACTAGTATTACTGTATCTAAATCACAGCTCGAAATGCGTATTAATGAAATAAAATAATGGCAGTCCTTAATTTTTTTAACGTTAAATAGTGACAAACTGAATTGATTAAAATTGGTTAAAGAAACATTGCCTAGAATTACAATCTGATTAAAACATAGATCCAATTTGTTTCGTTTTTTATAGTTTAAAATTTCGTTTTGCTTATCTTCACAACAGTAGGATCTAGAAGAGTTGTTATGTAACAGGCGTTCTAGTTGATGTGCATCCTCGGAATCCCCAGTGTACTCATTCCGTTCTACTCCACTATACCCTGGGTTAATCCATAGGGTTTCCACAATTTCAAATTATCTGCCCTGGCCATGATTGTAGCTATAGTCTACGAACCAATCAAAAAAACAGTTTACAAACCTGTCGTTTCGCCTTTGTTTTTATAAGGGTAGATAACCATATTCATGTCCATTTACTGTATGATTTATGTAAATAATGTATATATTTCTAATTCATTAATGTATTATCAAACTCTGTAGTATGTTTCGCTGATTTCAAATATGTATAACATCTACTATATGTTTGACTTTTGCTATTATTATTACTATTCGTTCTTTGTCTGAAATGTTTCATTATGTTATGTTTATTATTATTAAACTTATACTTGGCAATTTGATTCACAATGACTTGTCTACGATATCACGTGGACGTAAAACTCCGCGAACGAACGAACGATTGATTATCAATAAAACTCTGAACCTACATAAACGTCCAGTCTTCATTAATATAATATTATATAATTTGTTAACAAATACGCATTTAAAATAATTTTGACTTATCTCATTTAGGCTCTTCTAACCTTGTCCGATGAGAGTTACTTCCCTTTGTCGGCTTCCTTTGCAATTAACGATTTATGGGATTGGTCGATAAAAATAGAACAATCATTAAGGGCGGATAACTTGAAAACGTGTCCCGCCCCCATAGATTAACCCAAGGGTTAATAGAGTAAAACTGAATGAAATCACTGGGGATACCGAGGATGGTCGATGTGAGGAATTAGCCAATGAAATGGTCTGTTACGGCGAGCTCTTGACGTGCCCTGTAGGGTAGAAACGTCAACACTGATTAATCAATCTCTGGCGTCATTGGGTCAACAGCCGCTATCTCGTATAACCCCTGTCGCGACCTCCCAGTACAACTGGTCAGATATTTATGTAGTGTAGGCCATCGAAAGTATATAAAAGAAACCCCCAAAAACGAAATATAGATCTGTATTTTAATCAGATTGCCTAAAATTATTGACATCTTTTTAAACCATGGACCGTATATGTACCAGAGAAAATGTATTAATTCCAATAAGTTTACCCTCGCTATACGGTCCATGTTTAAACATTTTGTATTTGGATGCAGAGTTGACAGTTCTCACAATAATAGTTAAAATAGATAATGAAAAGGAAACATGTTGAAAACTTCAGTCAAAATAATTGATTTTGATCGGAATTAGGGTCGTTTGAATAACAGTGTAGTCTCGATTATCTTTGCTACCGATGTTACGATAATAAATAATGTCTCGATTATCCAGTTTTAATTAAATTTATTAACTGACAATCGACCATCCGATAGTCTAGTTGGCTCGATTATGAGCTTTGAGTGTGAATAAATGTCTAATTAATATATTCCATTGAGGCCAATCGGAAGATCTGCATTAAGAAGTTTTAACTCTTGCATAATGCATCTTTAATTGCCTATATCTGTCTTTAAAACCCAGTTAAAGTAGCTAAGTCTCTAATTCAATATCATCCAAAATCTTCGATATTGAAAACACGATTTATTTGTCGGTTTAAACCAACATTGATGTTGTGATCTTACGGGGAAAAGATGGCCTTCTGATATCCAATATTTAAGACAAAATAAACATTTTACAAATGGTACACAAATCGTGTACCATAATGCGTTTCTTCGCTATTTGTAATAAGGGACTCGAAAACGAGGCTATGCATATTCCACAAGTCATGTCAAACGGTGACGCTATATTCTTATCTGGAGAGCAAGCCCAATAAATAATATCGGCGTAGACTGGAATAACCAGACGCTAGCGATTGAAATTCGATTGAGAATACTTGCGTATTTCGCCAAACCTAACTGATTAAAAATTACAGTAAAAACAGAAACGTTTGAATGTAAATCAATTTATATACATTCATATTACGTTATTGTATGCGTTGCGACCCATTTGTGTCAATTTCTAGGTCCCAAATATTAGCGACTTAGATATATGACAAAAGGACTGTTTGCGCACAAGCTCTGAACATTACGCAGTTTAAACTGTTTATCCAATCTCGCTGGAGCAAATATGGAGATTTATTTTTTCTATTGACATCTCATTATTTTTACGGGCTTTCATTTGATATACATACTTAACTGTATTTTATGTGGCTTCTGATTATCATTTTGCAGAAGAGTGTTAAACGCCATTTCATTTCTCTTTATCAATCATCTTTTATAATTATTTACCTATTTTAAATAATTTTATCATTCAGATGTTTTGTTAACATTTACTTTTATGTAAAGCAATTATCCTTGAGTATATTACCTTGTTAATTTATAATGTTTAGAAAGAAAGCATAGTACTTT